TATAGAATAAGGGTGACAAACGAGCACACAGTCCACCCGACGATAAGTGGTTACTGTGGCCCATAGACATCTACATCTATCTTCGTTTGCGAATTAAAATGCAGATGTGTTGTCAGCCGTGAGGACTAAGATAGAATGCCTCTTTTGCAGTAAAATGGGTCTCTGGTTATTTACACTCACCATACGAGACACAGCAGCATTAAGCTGCTATTTTACGCTGGTATTCTGTAAGAGCGTGGTCCTTCCCCGTTCGAGCCGACCCATTCGTGCTACAACTATACTATTAATGTAGCTGCAGCATGGCTCTACCACGTAAAAATGTCTTCCAAGTTCGTCACTCCATCTAGTGGGGGGTCGCCCTACACTTTGCCTACCGGTACTCTGCCACTCGAAACCCTTTCTTCCCCATCGGTTGTCGGTTCTTCGAGCTATATGGCCGGCCCATTGCAACTTCAGCTTAATAATCCGTTGGGCTATGTCGGTTACTCTGGTTCTACTGCAGATATTCTCATTTCTAAGTTTGTCATGCAGAGAAACCCCGAGCATAGCCCATATGTGTATTATACACGTGAAATGTATAAAAAGAAACACCCAGGCCGGAAACTTAATCGTATACCTTAAAATACGTTTTATCAGAGCTGGTATTTAAATCACCATAAGCAAAATAATAGCCCAAAGATTGACCCCTGCCATAGCGAGCCGTTTAAAAGTATCATTTACGGATGGTAGAGCCATTCTGCAGCTATACCAGCAGTATAGTTGTAGCACGAATGGGCCGGCTTCACATCAAGCTTTCACACAATACCAGCTTAACGCTGCTGTGTTTCGTATGGTGAGTGTAGTGTAGAACCGCGGAGACCCTTTTTATTGGAAACGAGGCATTCTGTCTTAGTCCTCACGGACAACGCATCTGCATTTTGATTACGAATCAAAATGTAGATGCTTCGTAGCTGTAGATGTCTACGGGCTACAGCGTGCACTTACCATCAATTGGTCTGGGTGCTAGTTTTTAACCTTATTCATTCCTGCGGAGTATGCTAGGGCTGAATCTGAATGACAGGGTGTGTAATAGTGTGATAAGAGAAAAGTGTGGTTTGCAAGATGACGTTGTGACTAGAATTAAAAAAGGAATGCTTCGGTGGTTTGGTCACGTAGAAAGAATGAACGAGGAAAGCGTGATAAGCAAATTTATGTTTCAGAAGTGAACGGCAAAGTCGGGAAGGGACGCCCTAGACGAAGATTTATCGACCAAATCGGCGATACATTGAATATGGGCCAGATTAGGAGACTTAACCGACGAGCGTGTATGCGTAAATATATGGATGTAAAGGAGGCGAGAGAAGTGTGTCAGGATCGCGCCAAATGGAAGTCCGTAGTCTCTGCCTACCTCTCTGGGTGACAGGCGTGAGTGTTTGTATTGTATATTGTATTGTATCATTCCTGCCTTAAAAAAACGGCATGCGTCTTAAAGAAAGTAAGAAACAAGCGCATGCCCCATATTTGAATTTCTTATCGTTGTTATTCGTATCACACATGTTGAAGTTTTTCTAGATAACTTTAGGTTTCAATGTCACGAACGAAACTTGGCAACCGTTGATAAAGCACAACGTACGTGTGGGTGGCTGTTTTACATTGATAATATGCGTAAAATAACAAAGATAAAAACATTAAACGTATTAAAATGTGCTTAGCGGTTTACTTGTATGATACGCGGCAAGATAAACTGAAAACGATAGTCAAAAGACCAGATGTTGTTGGAAAAACTTTGAGTGGATATCTTCATAGCAGCAGTATCTCCTTAATCAGTCTTTAAAATCAACTAGATAAGGGTCATCTCAAGAATGCGTTAAGGATTTGAATGAAATTGTAAAATTGGGAGTATGAAGTATGGTACGTGAGGGAATATGGTTATCCTATGGTTATCCGATTAATGTGGTCACTTTCTTATAACTCAAAAACTACAGCCTTCTTAATTTTTTTTTCTTGTATAGATAGATGGCTCTGTGATACGATAGCTCTTCATCAATCAAATAATAAAAGATCAAAAAGGCGCTGCTTTATCAATGCCATTTTGACCCTTGACATTGTAGTAATCAATTTTGTCAACTTTAGTATTGTGTAGTGTAGTTAGTTTTTTTATGTTGATTTTTCGTGTTTAAGTGTTCCTAAGCTTATTTGTCATTTTTTTCTTAATATATTAATTATAGTATACGACTTTGTGGTTTTGTCTCTGTTCTCCTTCTAGTTTAGGTTTTATAGGGCGGCAACGCTTAAGGTTTCGCTTATTAATTAAAAGATTTCGAAATACTATTTGAAAAACATATAAATTACTATTTATTGTCAAATTCTTATTAGTTCTTTTCTTTCATTTTCTTGCTGCGACCATAATAAAGCTGCAGCAAGGCTCTACCACTGTTATTTTCGTTCAACAACAGAAATGTCTCTTCACTTCTCATCTATCAACGGGAGTACTAAATGAAATATATATATCATTACATCATATTCAACATATCGTTTATCTTTGACTATATTCACATAAACAGAACGATAACTACATTTATCTGTAAGCATTATATTTATACCATTAAATAAATAATTAGTAAAGGAATGAAACGTAATAAATAAATATTATATTTATCATAATATTACAATATTGCGAGTTATAAAAATATTATGCAAATAATTTTAAAAAATCTGCTTATATTTTTTATAAAGTCAAAGTTTAGAAAATTAAAAAGCAGTCACATCTCAAAACAAAGATGAAAAATGCCTCCTTTAAACATATATTCTACTACCTGGCCAGGCAGACGTTGTACTGTCCTTAGCGGCGAACCTCTGTACTATAAAAATGCTTAAATTTACAATAAAAATACTGAGGGTCACTTATCGGGATAAAAACTATCCTATCTCTCAAGTTGGACCAAACTGCACAAGTACACTGTCGAATTAGGGTACTCACCCTGTAATGATTGTGTATGTTGTATGTGTGTGTAAATAAATAAATAAATAAATAAATAAGTGTGCACAAATTTCATTGAAATCATTTCAGTGGTTTAGGAGTTTATCGCGGACAAACAACGTGACACGTAATTTTTATATATAAAGAAGATATATCTAATAATGCATATAAATACTATTGAAGTGACTGTTTGTAATATTGAAATAACTAGCTTCTTTTAAGTTCAGGGGGGTTATTTGCAGGCTATTAAGACATAAACAACCATTTTGAAAATTTTGTCCGTCGCTCTGTCCGGGCTTATTTTTCTAATGGCTGAAATGATTGTGGTGAAACTTATCGAACTAATAGAGAATTTAGACTTTATTTTATCCAAAAAAACTAGAACCATGTTAAAAAAAAAAAAACGAAAAATTGATAAAATATAAATTAATATATTTCTCTCTGGCGAAGCTGAGGCGGAGTCAGTCATTAATAAAATGGATCTTCAGTGCTCGTCACTCACCATATGAAACACAGCAGCACTACGCTACTATTTTGCACTGGGGTTTTGTAAGAGCGTGGTCCAACCCTGATCGATCCAGTTATTAGATAAATCTAATTTTTGCGGCTTTTATTGCATTCCATTTTATATATACTCGTCGGTCCAATAGTCATAAAGCCGTTGCTCTTGCGTCTGATGTCTCTCCGGTCATGTCGGTTTACTGTCGCAATGAACTATGAGTGAGGGAATAGAGAGTGTACTTGTACTTGAGCATACACTTGGGCACTATAATCCTGTCCTGCGCAGATGGCTAGTCTCCGTAGAGACTGGCCTCCATGACCGAAATTCGGTCTGGAGGATACCTTTATTACTATTTACATTATTATACCCGACGTTTCGCGTGCTTTGCGGCACCCATGGTTGCAGGAGGACAATCTAAACGTATAATCTGCTCACCACTCCTTGACTCCCTGTCACCAGTCTTTGTTCCTGAATGGATTTTTATACAAGTCGATCGCCAGATCCTCGTTAAGTTTATCTGTGTGCTGGTGAGACTAGCATTCGGAGAAAAATTTACATTTTGACTTCCCACTCCGTGACTCCCTGTCATATTTGTTAGGTTCAGCGTTCTTGGATAGATTTCTCGACCATAAGTAAGTCCATAGGTCGATTGCCATACCTCTGTTGATTTATCTATGATAGTATGGAAAGTAGAGGTAAGGAGGACTATCTCTGTGTACAAGTGTCCGTCGAAATACGTTAATTAGGTGGAGCTAAAATAGCATCAGAGTAATTTCAAAAACAGAAAAATTAATTAGGCCTATTTTAACGTTTTGTAACAGTTCACACTAAAAAAATTACTAAACGTATTTGAAGTTTACAAAATTAAATCACTCCACGTTTTAGGTTATATTTAGAAAAATATTTTTGGGCTACGTTAATAGTTGAAGTTTTGTATAGGTACTGTACTGTAACTAAATATACTAGTCCAAAAAAATTTCCTTTTATAATCTGCACACTTCAATCGATACCAGTGGTATAGCCATGCTGCAGCTATATTAGTAGTATAGTTGTAGCACGAATGGGTCGGCTCAACCGGGCAAGGGCCACGCTCTCACAGAATACCAGAGTAAAATAGCAGCTTAACACCGTTGTGTTTCGTATGGTGAATGTAGAGAACCGGAGACCCCTTTTACTGTAAAAGAGGCGTTCTATCTTAGTCCTCACGGGTGATAACGCATCTACATCTTCATTCTTTATTAAGGATAGATGTAGATGTATATGGATCACAGCAACCACTTACCATCAGGTGTATTGTGTGCTCGTTTGTCACCCTATGCTATAAAAAAATCTACAACTGCTACATTCATACCGTATCCATTGTCTATACATATATATACAGCTCCCAGCTGAAGACTTTTCCATCTTGTCCCCCATATGAGATAGTCTTCCTTACCTCTCTCTACCCTCCATATGTGATAAGACTGGCATTTAAAAAATTCATTTTATCCTAAGATAAATGCGTTTTGTGTTTTACTAAAGACCTTTTTTTTCTTCCAGTTAGGAAACTAGCCACTGAACAGATCGCGCCTTTAGTGAAGAAAATGGAAGACGAGCATAAAATCGATGACAGTATTAGACAGATGCTGTTCGATAATGGAGTACGTATCTAATCTATACATCTATACAAATAAATAAAATTGAAGTGTCTGTTTGTAATGTCAAAATAACAGGTTTTTACTAAATTCATATGGAAGCGTATAAGGTTCTTATAACAAAAACACATTTTTTTAGTCTGCTTATCTGTCTATCTATCTGTCTGTCTGTTTGTTCCGGCTAATCTCTTCGGAACGGCTACTTATATTTTAGAAAAAGAATTAGGGTTCCGCGCAACGTAATTAAAACCCTAAATTACACGCGGGCGAAGTCCCGGGGAACAGCTAGTATAACAATATAATGAGCATAGTTTTCTTTACCCGACTACCCCTGAAAGAGGGTAATGTTTTTCGATTGTACATAGGTACATATGTCTATTTCTTTGGAATGCTCTATGGCTTAAACACCTTGACGGATTTTAGCACAGAGGGTATCGTTAGTTATCGCCTTAATTGTGGAAGTGATATAGAGTATAAAATTTTTTCGCTTTTCCGTAATCTACGTTGTAGCGCCATGCTGCAGCTATAATAGTAGTATAGTTGTACTACTAATATAATACTATAGTAGAAACACACCAGCTTAAATCTGCCTTACGGTTGTCTACACTCACTATACGGGTGAGTGTAGACAACCAGAGACAAATTTTACTGGAGACGAGGCATTCTTAGTCGTCACGGGTGACAACACATTTGCATTCTCATTCGTAATCGAGAATAGATATAGATGTCTATGGACCACAGAAACCACTTACCATCAGGTGGACTGTGTACTTGTTTGACACCCTTGACCTATTAAAAAGATTACGCAGTTGGGCTTATTTAATCACTGTTTGTTAATAAAACTGAAGTGACAAACGAACTTACCAGTTACCGGTAAGTGTGTAGAAGCCACTTACTCATAACCAAGTACAACTGCAGCTTATTTCAAAGAAATAAAGCTACAGATGCATTGTCACCTCTATGGGCTAAGGTGGAATGCCTCTTCCGTCGTGAGGACACCTGCAAGTCTGAGGAGTAAAATATTTCCAAGACATGTGAAATCCGTCAGCACATACTGGACCAGCACAGTGGAGAAATTGGTTCATAACCCTCTCTGAAAGGGGAGGAGGCCTGTCCCCTGCTGTGGGTTATGAATAGGCTGTAACTTTACTTTTTACAACGTTCAGGGAAGATTTGCATTTGGGCAGAAACTTTGCCCTTCCTTCTTAGTCAGTTAGTAGTTAGTGTTATTCCATCCCTTATAGCCTATAAAAGTCCACTACTCAGTATAGGCCTCTCTCATAGATTGCCACATAGGGAGGATTTGTCATAGTTGTAATGTTACTGTTCATTCAATAATTTCACCTCTCAGTGGGTCATGTGCTCCTGGTAGATTATCTTCTATACATCCATCCATTTTACAGCCTATAAAAGTCCGCTGCTGAACATAGGCCTCCCCCATAGATTGCCTCCTAGGAAGGATTTTGCCATAGTTGCCACGCTTGGCAGGCGGGTTCAGGCCGCGTGGTTCTACCATTGTTAAAAACGCAGTGTATTACGTTTATATGCAACAATGAGCCAAATAAACGCATTTTAGGTTGTACAAATCATTGCCGTTTTTAAAGAAAAAAATATTACATACTTGACTTTAAATTACGTTTTTGATATAATACTGACGAATTACTATTACACAGCTGAACCTGAGGCGGGATGACAACCGCAGATTTTATAATTTCAAGTTGTAATCAAGAAGTTTTTTGTTTTTTTTTTACGTAATAAACCATGCTGCCATAGCGATAAAGTCTTTTATCTACGAGTATGAATAAAAAAAAGCTATATTAATAGTATAGTTGTAGCACGAATGGGTCGGCTCGACCGGGTAAGGACCACGCTCTCACAGAATACCAGCGTAAAATAGCAGCTTAATGCTGCTGTGTTTCGTATGGTGAGTGTAGAGAACCGGAGGCCCTTGGAAAAGAGGCATTCTATCTTAGTCCTCACGGCTGACAACGCATCTGCATTTCAATTCGAAGATAGATGCAGATGTCTATGGGCCACAGCAACCACTTACCATCAGGTGGACTGTGTGCTCGTTGGTCACCCTAATTCTATAAAAAAAGTTGCTGCTGCCCACCTTCTGTTAGTTATCCTCTGTCTCCTCTTACGACACCCACGAGACAATATGGGTTAGGGAATATTTTTTATTACTTATATTTATTTTTATTAAATTAATAACTATGTAATAATTTTTTAATTACCCATTTATACAAAATCATTCCCAGCAGAACCCTAATCCAAAAACTTCGTCCACAGCTAATGGGCATAGAAACACCGGCTGAATACAGCGGCTCTGGCTGCGGTTTCCTCACTATGATGCTGGTGGTGGAAGAGTTGTCCAGGGTCGACCCTGCGGTGGCCGCGTATGTGGACATACACAACACCCTGGTCAACTCGCTGTTCATGAAACTTGGCACGGAGGAGCAGAAGAAAAAGTATTTGACTAAACTTTGCACTGAATACGTAAGTATGAGATTTGTTTCGGTTTCTGTCAGAGCTTTAATAACCTTGTATTATGGGGACGCGCCGCGATAGTGGCAAGGACGGGTTATGTCAGTCTCTCACCGACTAAAACTCCATGGTGTTCCTCCATCGATATATTATCAGGACTACGAGAACGCTTTCGCACTAATCCACGGCGACTCGAGAGAGGATGACTCCTTCTCTTCTTTACCTCCTTAGGCAAGGAGGTAAAGAACTTACTTGTATTTTATTTATTACTTTTTTAAGCTTGCAAGAAACCTATAAAACATTTTTAGCTGATTGCCCTAAAAGGAGAGTAACGTTTTTCGCTTGTATTTATGTTCTATTAAAAAGCATTGTATGATTTCTGTGGGATTAGTTTTTATAATTGTAAGGTTGCTAAAACAACGCACTCACCTAACCAGGTAGTAAGTGAATACTGAGGCCCTTAGCAACCTACATATTATATCATCGATTGAGAATCCGAATGCAGAAGCATTGTCATCCCAGCGGACTGAGATGAGCCGTTCGTGTTCCAGAAATAATTAAGCTGGCTCTGCCACGAAAAAGTCTAACCTCTCTTTCTTTTTTAACTGACTTCAAAAAAGGAGAAGATTCTCAATTAGACTATATTTGTTTTAAGTGTGTTAATTCGGAACTTTTTTCTAGATGAACCGATTTTGATGATTCTTTTATTTAAAAGCTGGTGCATCTTACGTGGTCTCATATAAATTTGATCAAGATCTGACCAGTACTTTTTGAGTTATCCTTATTCGACTACATTGAAGATGTTCTCATCTTATTTAAATTGAAGTCGGTTATAGAAAATTTTAATTTACCGCTTGTTTTCGACATTATTAAGCAATTAATAGAGTACATTCGGCGATGTAGCCCTCATAATAAAGTGCACTGGTTTAGTTCAACAAAAGCCTATTCATTCTTGCCTTCATGTTGAAAAATCCACGTAAAGCATAGAACGGCAGACATTAGGTTGACAGCTGCCATAGGTGTTATAGAGTCCTAGTTAGTCGAGTTTTCTGTTTAGAAGTTCATCTGTGTAGGAACAACACTCTTTTTCCACCGGCAAGCAATGATACTCTAGCTGTGTTCGATCCGAAGGGTATGGAGTGCCAGTGTAATTTATGTAATTATACTGTGGCCTCAGAGGTGATAACGTATCTGTCGCCTTTTTTGTTTATGGTTACAGGTGTCCATGGGCTGCAGTGGCCCCTTGCCATCAGGACGACGTTTCGACGCCGTTTGTCACTTTAACACACACAAAAACAAATTTTACCACTAATACAAATAAACAACAAAATAATCATTTGTAAAGAGCACGTTGAAAAAATTTACTATCATAGGTATTATCTACATCAGTGAAATCGGATACAGGACAAAAGCACGTACGATGTCAAGAACCCCGAGCAAATCCGGTTTACTCCGAGTAAATTCGGTTTAGTGTACATATGGATACTAATAATGTTTATTTAATTTATACCTGACTTCACGAGGTTGTTTTTTTTTTCGTATTAATTAGTCAGTGCCTGACTACAATCCCAGCTGGTATCGCACTGGTAACGCAATGAAAGCCTACTCACGCTGGCCTTGAAAGCAAACATTATTAGCCTACATAAAGACAGGTGTTGGCAAATTATTCCATTCCTTTACCGTACTCATTACAAAAGACGGAGAAAACTATTTAGTTCTAATGTGTGAAAAGTTGACAACAAAGGGAATACCGCGCGCCTGTGAAATCAAGTCAATGTTAAGTCACACACGCGCCTCCACTACCGTCGATACCAACAACCTAGCTCAGTGACAAGATTTACTTTCTGCACGTGATTCATCAATGAGATATTTAAACGATTTCAACTTTACAAACACTCGCTAGTGTTATTAAAAAGCTAGGCTGATTTGTAAAATGCCGAAGAATGCTTCTCAAAGAGTCAAAGCTTATCAAAGAGTCGCAACGCTGGGGGCCGCGGGTTCGAATCCAACACGGAATAAATATTTTATTTATACGGCCTACAAATAATAATTGTTCCAGGCCCGGATGTTTGTCCTGGTGCAATTTATGTTTATAAACTGCCCTCACGATACCGGAGAAAATTCTAACATTTTTTTTAAGGAAACCTAAAAGTAATGTAAAATGCCTCGACATTTTGTAAAAATCCATGAAACCAAAATGACGTTTACAATTTACTATCGTAGTCCAATTGTAGAATTAGATCGATGATATATGAATTGCTGTCATTGTCAACAACATAAAATCATCTTGCAAGTAATATCAGCGATATACGGTGCGGCTGGGTCCTTGGGCAATGTCACAGATAGAAGTATTATTGTCAATTTGCTTTCGGTATTCGCAAGCCAGCGAGCGGTTGCAAATAGAAGCCGCTATTTGTGTAGTGACGAATCATACAATCTGTCGACGATATAATATAAACCACATCAAATAACAAGTCACAACAACTTTATATATTTATGTGTGTAATGTGTTCTGTTTATATTCAGGTTTCAGTATAGCATTATTCAAATAGTGTTCCATTCAAAAAATAGCAAATAAAAAAACTGTTACTTATTGTTGTAATGTGCTTGATAATTTTTATTTATTTATTTATTTACACTTTATTGCACCTTAATTAAAGGACTACAAAGGGGGACTTAATGCCTTTAGGCATTCTCTCCCAGTCAACCCGGGACGTGTGGAAATTAGGTGATAGGTGACAAAATAAAATGAACAATTGAGTAAATCAAGGAAAAAAAAACTACTGATAAACTTAAAAATAAACTAATATTATATATATATAAATACAATAAACTTATATACTATAAAATATAACAAATATATAGGTACATAAATATATACATATTATAAATACAAATAGATATATAACATAAACCTATAAATAAAATAACAACAAAGGTAACCAAATTGACCATACTAACTATCATTAAAGTGCTTGTGTACCAATCTTTTAAAGGCAGTCTTATTAGATGTATTTCTGACGTCATCGGGAGTTCCAGAGCAGTGCAGCCTGAATGGTGAAGGATTTACCAACAAAATTAGTAAAATGTAGTGGGATACTTAGTTTATTATTATATGAGGACCGCAGAGTTCTATCATGCGTTGAGGAAATATACTGAAATTTCTCCTTGAGATAAGAAGGAGTGGATGGATCACTTAAGATAGAGAAGAGAACAAGCAAAATTCTAGAGTCACGCCTCTGCTTAATAGTGAGCCATTTAAGGCGAGAGCGATAGTGAGAGATATGATCAAATTTACGAAGATTGAAAATGTATCTGACGCAATTGTTGAGTAGGCGCTCTAGCTTGTTAAGAAGATTTTGGTTTAAATCCGAGTAGCACACGTCAGCATAATCAATGATTGGTAGTATAAGTAACTGTACAAGCATAATTTTAGTCTTAAAGGGGAGAAAATTTTTCAAGCGATGAAGAGAACGTAAAGACCCTGAGACTTTACGGCATGTTTCGGAGATATGAACCACTCAGGACAGAGTACTACCAATATGGAGACCAAGATTTTTAACTGAGGAAGAGAACGGTATCAGACGATCATTATAATAGACGGGGGGTAGGCTAGTGGCATCTATTTTTGCAAGCATCCTTGAGCTACCCATAATCACCGCTTGGCATTTCGTAGGGTTGACAGATACTCCAAAGCGCATGGACCAATCACGGACTGACTTGAGATTGGAATTCAATTTGTTAATTGCATTATAGATGTCACAAATGTCAGACTGTACATAAAATTGTAGGTCATCAGCATACAGATGGTACGAACAATCAATATTAGATGTGATGGAATTAATAAAAATAGAGAAGATTAAAGGAGAAAGTATACCGCCTTGCGGTATGCCAGAAATCAGGTCAACCCACTGTGAAGTCATTTGCTCCACGTGGACAGACTGTTGACGTCCGCGAAGATAAGATGAGATCCATTCTAGGACTGACGGTGCAAACCTATAATAAGAAAGGATAGCAAGAAGGATATGACCATGAGGTCAACTGTGTTAAAAGCGTTAGAAAAGTCAACGAGCACCACAACTGTAACTTTCTTGTTATCCATTCCTTCTCTAATATCTTCAGTTATTGTGAGTAAGGCAGTTGTAGTGCTGTGACCAGGACGAAACCCGGACTGAAAAGTACTCAGCAGGTTATGTTTATATATGAAATTGGAAATTTGCTTATGAACACAGGCTTCCAGAACTTTAGATAGGAAAGGTAAAACTGATATGGGGCGGAAATGATTGGGAAGTGTAGGATTGGATACTTTAGGAAGGGGTCTTATGAAAGCCTTTTTCCACTGACTCGGAAACTGACCCGAGTCAAGCGAAAAATTAACAATATGCGTAATTGCGGGAAGAATAGGTTCTAGAATATTAATAATCATGGCTCTACTAATATCATCGCAACCGACAGCCATGGATTTTATTGCCAGAAGAGTATTTCTTATTTCGTCCTGATCAACAGGGTTAAAAAGAAAGACTGGTATGTGCGGAGACGGAATTGAAGCTATGTAAGCGACTGTTTGGGATCGGATTGAATGGTCCAATGCAGAAGCAGAAGCAAAATGAAGATTTAAAGCATCGTCAGAAAGAGATAAACCACAATACAAAGAAGGTGTTTTACCCAAACCTAGAGAACTAAGGAATTTCCACACATCAGCTGGCGAAGAATTACTTATATTGCTATGGATAAATCGGCGTTTTGCAGAACGTACCATCTGATTGCATCTGTTTCTGGCCTTCTTAAAAGATAACCAGTTTTCCTCAGATCTGCTCCTCTTGAACCGGGCAAAGGCTCGATTTCATCTGGTCATGGCTTTCCGTACCTCTTCAGTCATCCAGGGAGCTGGTGGACGTCGTAGTTTTACTTTACGTACAGGAGCATGGTTATCATACAAAACATGAATTATGTTATTGAAAATAGTTACTTTATCATCTACAGTGGATGCAGTAGCTAATGGCGTAAAATCT